ATTAGTCATTTGAGAAATGAAAATTAAAACAACATTGAGATTTCATCTCACCCCAGTAAGAATGGCTATCATCAAGAAATCAACCAATAACAAATGCTGGTGAGGCTGTGGAGAAATAGCAACTCTTTTCCACTGCTGGTGGGAATGCAGACTGGTGAAATCACTGTGGAAATCAGTTTGGAGGTTCCTTAGCAAAGTAGGTCTAGAGGTCCCATTCAACCCAGCTATTCCCCTTCTGGGTATTTTCCTTGAAGATGTGAAAACTTCATATCACAGTGATATACATGCACCCATGTTTATAGCAGGACAATTTGTAATTGCTGAATTGTGGAAGCAATAAAAATATCCATCCACCAAGGAATGCATAAAAAAATTGTGGTATTTTTATATAATGGAATATTACTCAGTTATAAAGAAAGATAAACTCAAGGCTTTTATAAGTAAATGGTCACAACTAGAGACCATACTCATAAGTGAAATAAACCAGACCTCCATGTGTAAGCAATGTATTGTCTCAGTAGTATAAGAACCTGAAAGAGTGAATAAAAATTAGAAGGTATGATAGGCATCTTGAAACCAAAGGAAACTGCTCAAAATTAAAGAGCAACTGGTATGAGGGAAAAGAGAAAAGAAAGAAGGGAGAAATTATATATGTATGTATACATGGGATAGCTGACATAGTTGTACTACTGACTTCTATCACTTTACTGAAAGGAACAGTTAATGACTACTTATTTGATCAATCTTGCATGTCTCTATTTGTTTTCCTGAGAAACCACTTTAAAGATATCAATATGTAACATGACAACCATTGTTAATTTCCTACCACTTTGTCTGTAATTCAGTATTGCTTGTATTGTTCTTATGCTATTTTGTAAATGGATGTCTGTTAAAATAAAGAAATAAATACATAGATACATAAAATGACTGTCTTTAAGTAATTTTGGAAGAATATAGCATCTTTCGAAGAGGATAGCTGAGCACACTACACAGCACATGAAACTTGGTAACTTGAAACACAGCAGTTTAAAAAATCTACAGTTTTATTGTCTTGTTTGTTAAATAGCACATTAAAAATATTTTGAAGAGGGGCAGGATACTTCTGACAGTTGAGTGGGAGGCTCCTGGCTATGGACAGGGATGTTGAGCTGTTAGCTCTCCAGGCTAATCCATTTGGGATGAAAAAGGGAAAAAGAGTTGAAATGAAGAGGGGAAAGCTACTCATGAAGAAAAATCAGTTCAACACCATGGAAATATTTGATTCCTCTTTCCTCCTATACCTGTCTGCCGACAGAAATAAACAATTCTTTTACACAGAGAGCAAAAGAGAAATCTTATTTTTAAACATGAGACAGGGAGGGGAGTGGGTGGGGAGGGCCCTCCAGCTGCACAGTGCTTTCCTCTGTTCCTGTCGACTCCAGCAGAGCCACGAAGCTCCAACTGGAAATGCGGTGTATCACTGAAATGGGATGCTGACCTCAGGGTTTCAAATTTTTACAACCAGCCTTTTTCTTCTTCCAATTATAGAAACTTTATAAAAAACAAATGCAAGCTGCCACACTTCATCAAGGTAATGAACAGATAAAATGCTCACCAGCCACTTGTTTTAGCATCTGGTCACTTCTGGCTGTGGCGTCTTCATAATGTTCGAACAGCGAGAAGGCAGCCGGCATGTGCTCCAGCGAAGCCGTGCTCGCCACAGCGGAGAGCAACCTAGGGAGCAGCCGTAAGTCAGATGTGAACAGCACATCCGGGGCAGATAGCAACCGCCCAAAATGCAGCAGGTCTTGGCAGCAGTGGTTTTTATGAGACAAGACTAACATCGTATCCAGAAAGGACTTAAATTGTTTTGGGAGTCTGAAAATACAGTTTGTCTAATGTCTAGGCACTCTTTGGGTTCCTAGGCAATCGGTAATATTGAAAATTTCATTTCTGCCTCCTCAGATTTGAAAACAGTTTGACAAATTATGCAGTTTTAAACTTTTTCTGTAAAGTGAGTTCTAAAAATAACTTCATTTCAATGATTCTGATTTTTTTAAATTTCCTAAAGGATACATATTTTAAATTTCTTAAAAGATACACATTTTCAGAACTCATTTGGGGAGTCACATGCTGTAGGAGGTTCTCACACCTCAACCTCAAGCTTCTGGTCATTTAATCATGGACCAGCATGGACCAGGGTTGGGGTTACATCAGCAGAAGAGGGCAAGGCCTACTGTCTTTAAAAGACTAAAAAGCCACAATTTATAAATTAACAGCTTTTAGAGACTGAAGCCTCTCCTGGGAGAACTAGCAAGGGATGCTGCTAACATTCGTATGGAGGGGAAATGTGGAAAAAAAACAAAGGGGAAAGAGAGAGTTTGCAAATAATGTGTCTTTAGCATAGGCCTTGAAATACACGAGAAGCTTCCTCTGTGTGCTGCACAGGCCTGGGTCTCTCTTCAGAGGCTGAGTCAAATTCAAGGCATTGTCTGGCTTCATTCCTAAGAACTTTGATTTTCCAGAACAGGCCCACCTCGGCCTTCTATGGAGGCCTGGGAGCTCTTTTCCTGCACACTCGCAGAGCCACTTCCTGGCTTTATATTTGGCTTTAAAAGATAATGGGGCCAGGGATATAGCTCAGCGGCACAAGTGCCTGCCTGGCAAGCACAAGGTACTGAGTTCGATTTCTGGTACCAAAAAATAAATAAATAAATAAATATAAAAGAATGGTTGGTTAAAATAAAGGGGGGGATACATGAAAAATTGTGAATATTCTTACCTTAAAATGCTCTAGAATAGTTTTACTCTTCTAAATATTAGAATATTGCTAATATGAATTGACAAATTGACACTTGGGGTACAAATGTCTCCTTAGATTTGTGTGACACACCCACTGCCTCCAGCCCTTATTTCACTTGGTTTCCTCAAATTCATCACCAACTACTTAGCACACGGTGGGCATTTAATGAACACATTTTTTAATAAAGAAGAGGGCAATAGTTTCATTGGGGCAGGTAAGTGGGTTCTCAGAGGTGGTAGATTTGGGGTCGGTATGAGGGGAGATGACCGTGAAGCATTTAGAGACAATCTTCTGTTTCCTATTGTTGGACACCATTAAATCCACTAGTGTTTGATATAGAGGAGATGGTTCTAGTCAGGGCTTCAAAAAGAAGGTATCTGAGCTGGAGCTTAAAGTACACACGGAAGGTTGCCAGGCAGGAAGGGGGCAAGAGTATCACAGAGGGAAGGAGAGCGGTAGCAGAGCAGAGAAGGAAGAGCCTGGCTCCCTGCAGGGCCAGAGGGCAGTGAGGGGACCACAGAGCGAGGCTCTTTCCCAACTGTCTCTGCTAGACAATGAATGATGAAAAGGAAAAGTGGCTGTGGCTTGACTGTGAAGAGCCTCTCAGACCTGCCAAGAACCTCCATTTATCTTTTAAAGCCAGGAGAGCTCAGAACTGTTTCTGTAAGGGGAGTGAAGACAAAGATCCCGACAGGTGTCTAAGAAAACAACAGACCACAGATGAGAAGCTGTGAGGGGACAGAGGAGGTGTAAACTAAGGCTTTGAGGTGCAGGGGTAGAAACGACAGACTCAGAATTAACAAAAAGCAGTGAACAATAGGCACACTAAGTCCTCTCAGTATACACCACTACATAAATGCAGGACTCTGTGTAGCACAAAAGCTCTGGCTGTGGATTCCACAAGTAAGATCTTTGCGTTTTCCCTTGTGCAGCTGCCTGCTCCGCTTTAACATCAGCATATGAAAGGGCAAGAAGACCTCTTTATGTAGGTAGTCCAATATGGTTGAAATGCTCTTCTCATTATTATAACACAGAAGAGTGAAATGGAGGGGGAAATGTGTCTCCTTAACAGAAGACCATTTTCTAAGCAAATGTGTTTTTCAAGATATGCAAATGTTGAGTCTAAATATGCTTGACAGCATTCCTTAATTTAAGCACTTTTGGTGTCAAGAAAAATCATTTAACATACAAGCACTGCCTTTAGAGATATACAGAAAAAGCAGCAAGGTCAAATAAACTAGATATTTAGCACTTATGGAAAGGAATGCCAATAACACTGAGACATGGAGGTAGATGTGTCTTGAGGATATGAAGGGTGTGTGTGTGTGTGTGTGTGTGTGTGTGTGTATCACATGTTAACAAGGCTTTCTTCAGTTGCTCATATTTCTTCACCGAATCCTTGAATTTTGTTCTTTTTTTCCCTACAGAAAAATAACGGTTATCCCAAGTATGTTCTCTTTATGTGACATGCAACTTTAGTAAAGATTAATTCACTGTCAACTGGACAAGGAAATTGAAATTAATTAAAATGAGAAATTAACAAATTTAAGCACAAAAACCAAAAAATGCCATTTAGTATTAAATGGCTGTCTTTTCATTTTAGCAATATTCTAATACTTAGAAAAGTAAAAACATTCTAGAGCATTTTAAGGTAAAAACATTCACAAATTTTCATGTATCCCATTTCTTTTTTACCAACCATTATCTTTCTTGAATGGTTGAAGCATGAATAATCAAACAGACATCTACAAATTCAGTGTATATGGAATGACACTTTAAATCCATATACTTTTGATTAGGAAAAATAATGATATTTAGAAAAATGTATAATTTTTAAAATAAAGGAAATCAGGAGCCAGGCCTCAGTATCAGCTTCAAAACCTGCATGGTGCATCTGAGGCTCACTGCTCTGTAGAACTGATTACAGAGGTGCAGATGCCTGGTTCTAGCCCAGGAACTCCAATAGAGCCGCTCCTGGGGCCCAGAGTCTTTGGTTAAACAAACTGCAGATGATTCAGGTACAGACAGTGTGAGGAACCATTGGGCCAGAGGACAGATTGCTCAACACAGAGGTTCTCAACCCGGGCTGCAAATTAGAATCATTTGGGAAGTTTTAAAATGTCCAGATTATACTTCAGACCAATTAAACTAGAATCTCAGGAGATGAGATTCAGGTGTCAGCATTTTCTAAAGCTCCCAGGTGGCTTTATTTATATAAAACTCTTATTGATTAACACAAATATTAATACACAAGCTACTTTCATAAAATGTATTGGCAATATTCTGCTGAATAGAACTGTGTAGGATTCATCTGTGTAATTTCAATTACGTAAAAAGATTGGATTTCCAAACTAAATCCATTTTTATATATCTTAATACGCCACACATGCAAATTTCTGATTTTACTCTATGCAGTTTCACAATTTGAACTGTTATGGAAATAAATTGAAGATAATATTCAAAATTTATAAGTTCACATTTAAAATTACATTAAAAAGATTAAACATTAGGTTCAGCCTGTGAGAAAGGCCTCAGTTTTTGTGAGGGGACAAAAGAGAAAGGAGTCAGATCAGCATGAGAATTTCCACATCAAGTGCTTCAAGAGCTAAATGTGGGCTAAGGTATAGCTCAGTGGTAGGTCCTTTGCCTGGCATGGGGGAGGCCTGGGGTTTGAGCCTCAGCATCAAAAAGAAGAAAAGAAAAACATGTCTATATTTTTCTAAAATTTTTCTAATTTCTTGTTGAATGTTTTGCCTTTCTAAAGAATGAAGACTCTCTTAGACTGAGTGTTAAATACATCAACAAAACAAAATCAAGAATAAAATTCCTTCAGGTTAGCTGAGCAAAATTAGAAGATAAATGTGTGACTGTCTTTTGAAGACAGATGAGGGAACATGCCATTGGATTACATAAGTCATAAGATTACTCTAGGCAGATACAGATGATTCCTTCAAATACTCATATTTAGCCAATATGTCTAAGTTACAACATTTTTTGTATGCAGTGATGGAAAGATGGTCTATATAAGGCTTTGAAAATACAGAATACATCTCAAGGAAGCACTTAAAAATCTACATTATGATAATTATTATTTAGCTGAAGTCCATGCAATTTGCTTTCCAAGCTGTCATTTAGTTTTTAAAAGCACTGTGTCAGTGAAAACCCAGTAGCTCCCTAGATGAATTTTTAATTGACAGTCATTTTGTATAAAGCATCAAGATATAAAAATAAAGCATTCAGTCATGCTATAGTCCCACTCGCCACTACATTGTGCATGTTTTATATACTATACCTTTCATTGATTTCCTCAAATGACTTATGGGGGCAGATGAAAATAAGGGGAGGAGGGGAGGGAGGGAGAGAGAGAGAGAGAGAGAGAGAGAGAGAGAGAGAGAGAGAGAGATTAACAAAATGAAAAACCAACCAAAGGGCTTTAGGACTACAAAGCTGGGAAACAGTCGTCCCTCCCCTTCCCTGGGCCAGGGAAATGCAAGCTCAGGCCAGTGGTGCCCCCCACCCACCCAGGGCTACCAGGGCTTCATTTCACAGTCACCTCCACTCTCTGATAAGCCAGGCTGACAATGGGTTGTTTGTACTCTGCTTCTCTCTATTTATTAAAAAATGGCTTAGCCTCCAGAATGGATTTCTCTGAAGCAAGAAAAATGACTTAAATTTGCTTAAATATATATCAAAAATGTAAGTCAGTGGTCATCTCTGGGTAGTTACACCTTCTCAGTCCTTTCTTGTATTTTCCAATTTTTCTACAATGACTACATGCAAGGAGGGAAATTTTTTTTTCAATTTGTTACTTCTAGAGAAAAGGAAATATTCTTATCAAACACAGATAACATTCTTGGGAAACACAAGTGCTTCATTAATGTTATGCTTCACAAGAGGTGCCTGATTTAAAAATACTAAAGCTCACCTTAATGAAACATGAAGCAGTCTAATAATTAAGGCAGATCTCCTTGAGATGGCCAACTCCACAGTGGGCTAGGAGGGTGGGATCTTCTAACTGAAGGTCCCTACACATCAAATGATGGCACTGTCCCCAGTTTGCCTAGAAGGCTTGGGGCCGCCCTCTGGGAACCCATCTCCTTGTTGCTGGTTGGTCCTAGCTCTGCAGAGAGCCAGGATCTGCTGGTGTTTGGGAGAATCATGAGGGTTAGAGATCTGACTCTGGAACAACTAAAGAACACCCACGGGAATCTCCTGTCCACAACTGTTTGCTGGAATTAGGGGACCTTTTCTCCAGATAGCCACTTGGAAAAATGCTGTCACATTGCCTGAGAGGGGTCCCACAATTTATGGCATCCTTTTGCATCGAAAGTGTGCCAAAATGTTCCTCAGCTTTGGCCAGGTTCCAGGGGAATGGCTCATGTGAGAGGCCACCTCAGACTCTGCAGTGGAGAGGAGAGGCCCAGCAGCCAGTGAGAGGATGCCAGGGACCAGGAGATAGGGTGGTAGGACTAAGGTTGGAAGGCTGTTTCCATTCCCTCTTAGACAAATCCCTGTCCCTGTGACAGGGTGGCCTGACTCCATGAATCTTTCAGCTGGATCTGGGCACTGGAACTTCCAGGATTTGTGGGGCATTTGACAGGGTGGCCTGACTCCATGAATCTTTCAGCTGGATCTGGGCACTGGAACTTCCAGGATTTGTGGGGCATTTGTGGGTATCCTGAATGCCCAAATAATTCTAAAATGCCAGAATTGTTCAAACCCCACACTGAAATATAAACGATTTTGGGGAATGTTGAAAGATGACGTTTGAGAGTAGACTTGTAGCAGAGCCTGTCACAAATGGCACTTACTGTCAGGAAGACAGTCTCATCTAGCTCCTCAGCCTCCCTCACAATGGCCTCCAGGGTGTCCTTGGCGGTGTCCATGCTCTGCAGAAAGTGAACCATCTGGTCATGCAGGAACTCCATCTTCTTCTTCTTCACTTCCTCAAAACTCTGGGCTTTCTCATCGTACTGTGCCAAAACTTTCCTCATCATTTCCTCATTCTGTTCTTCTAGCCTCTTCTCATTTTTGGTGCAGCTTTCCTAGGAGGAGAAACAAAAACACTCCTGAATGAAACAAGAAGTACATCCCTTTTCTCCCCCTCCTCTTCCTCCTCTTCTTTTTCTTTTAAAGAACTGACATCTGGTGTCTCAATAAGAAAATCAGAATTTTAGAGCTTTAGACTGTATACTTCATATCTAATTAATATTAGATTTCTAACCTACCAACCGCCTTTGCCATAATTAGTTTTGCAATAGAACCAGCTGAAAGAGTACTATCCAGAAGGTTTTAGATACTAAAATACCAAAGGCAGGGGCATTTGTATAGAAGTCTTATCCAGCTGCATTCCCATGTGATAAAACTTAAAAATGGCATTGTAGCAAGCAAGGATCCCAGACCACCAGGTGGTGGTGAGGGCTGGTGCTATTTCCTGCTCTCTGCTAAAATCACAGTGTGAGAGAGGGAGGTACCAGGATATTGAAGGGTCCTAAGTTCCCAAATGTTCTCCAGGGAGGGGCAGTTTCTCCTTTGTTGCCCAATTGGATAAACTAGATCTTGGACTATCCGCATCAGCAAGGTTAGTGATAAGGTGATCATATAATTTACTCTCTAAAAGCAATCCTTTTGGATTTTAATACCACATTGTTTCTCTGGTATGAGAAATCAAAAATGTAAATAAGGACCAAATGTATAATAGGTATAATAGGTATTTCATTTTTTTTTTCTGGTACCAGGAATCGAACTCACGACTTTGCACTTGCC